GACAGCAAAGGATGTTCGAAGGTTTCTGGGGGGCAGCCGGATATTTCCGTCGCCACATTGAGGGTTTTGCAAGTACAACAGCACCGTTAACTGAGCTCACTAAGAAAAATGTTAAATTCATTTGGAAACCTGAGCATGATAACGCTTATGCAAAATTAAAAAGTCAACTCATTACCACCCCAGTCTTGGCAGTACCTGATTTTGATAAGGAGTGGGAAGTACACACTGACGCCAGTGGCATAGCTATTGGCGGGTGCTTAATGCAACGCGATAATGACAATCTTCCTCACCCAGTAGCATATTTCAGCAGGAAGGTTAAGGGTCCGGAGGTCCGCTATTCTGCAACGGATAGGGAAGCTTTGGCTGTGGTAGAAAGTGTCAGGTACTTTGAACCGTATCTTTTCCAACGTCACTTTGTCATTTATACAGATCACAGGGCTTTGACATATATTATTAAGAAAAGAACTAAGTGCCCTCGCATGTCCCGTTGGTCTCATGAACTAGCTGCTCACTCATTCCAAATACTTTACAAGCCTGGGCCATCACATGTTGTACCAGACACTTTGAGTAGAAACATCGCTACTATTAACGTAAATCTTAATATTGAAAATATTTCCAGTGAGAAAATGCGAGAATTCCAGATGAACGAACCAAGGTGGAAGGAAATTATTGAACTTTTGGAGGGAGGAAAATATCCGTCGAAGAAACGTGATTTAGCAATTCATGATTTTGAAATGAAGGATGTAGTCTTATTTTATGTAAAGGGACAGAAGGATCGTGCATTTTTTCAACTGGTTATCCCAGAGGTGTTGAAGAAGTCGGCGTTGAAACTCGCACATTCGTCTAAGATTGCAGGTCATCCGGGGATTTTTAAAACACACATGAAAGCCAAGTCACTCTTTTTCTTCCCCGGTATGTTAACAGAGGTCATTAACTTCGTTAAGTCCTGTGGTCATTGTCAAAGGAGGAAAGGTACCCTTAAGGTACAAGCTCAATTGCAAGAATTCCCGGAAATTTCGGAATCTTTAGATCGGGTGGGGGCTGATCTGATTGATCTACATCACAGTCATTCAGGAAACCGTTACGTATTGGTATTGGTAGACCACCTGTCCAGGTACACCACACTGATTGCATTGCCTCAGAAAGATTCACGAACTGTTGCAAAGGCGTTCTTAGATAGGTTCGTCACTGTATTCGGTCCCCCTAAAGTGTTAGTTTCTGACCGGGGTCAGGAATTTAATGGGAATATTTTTAGAGAAGTATGCAAAATTATAGAAACCACTTCAGCATTCACGACGGCTTATCACCCTCAGGCTAACGGCATGACAGAACGGACGAACCGGTCAGTTAAAGATATGCTTGCAATTCTTGCAGAGCATGATGCAAATTCGTGGGACGAACAACTCCCCTATGTCCAGTTGGCTCTGAACACTACCATCCATCGGTCCATTAACACCCAACCCCTTTTGCTGTTCACAGGTCATTCATGTAATTTCCCATCAGGTCTGCTTCAACAGCCTGGTTGACCAGTCAAGCAACCAGGAGGCCTGATCGGGGACTAATGAAATGAGGCTGCTAATCTACTTGCCAGCACTAGCAACGCTAGTAGATTGCTGCCCTGTGACTATCAGTGAATACTTGTAGATGTTGTTTTAGATTCAGCTATTTGGAACAAAAAGTTCCAAGTAGCACGGGCTATGGTGAACCTGTATCCCTAACGTGCTGCAATATATAAGTAATAATAGTTATTATTAATTAAAAATACTGAATAAATACCTGGATGGCACGATGTGTTCATGTTAGTGTATACAACATTCGGCAGTCGTTCGTATCCGCCATCCTCCAACTTATTTTTAACCTGGCCACTTTACTTAACGTAACATAATCTAACCTAACTTAACACAACCAAGCCAAACAGAGATTAACCTGAGAAAATAAAACCTAAGCTATCAATATTTATGGCAGTAGACGCTGCCACTGCCGTAAGCACTGGACACCGTGCTTTCGTACACAAACACAGGCCGTGATTCCTTGATAAATAATAAGTTATAATAATAACTTAATTGTCATTAAATATTTGCAAAGGCCATATTTTTAATTTTGAAGAAAACTTAAAAGACCTCTTGAAAGAGATATAAGAACTCCGCGTTACCTATTCTTCCTGTTTAATTAAATTATAAAAAATAGTTAAACAAATATTAAGCAGTTGCCTATTACTTATATACTCACCTAGTTGTGCTTGGGGGTTGAGCTTTGACTCTTTGGTCCCGCCTCTCAACCGTCAATCAACTGATGTACGGATTCCTCAGCTTACTGGGCTCTGTCATATCACCATTTGAAACTGTGTATGGAGTAAACCTCCACCCGCATCACTTCCTGGTGCATTCTATTTTCTAACTACTCTGACACTGAAAAAGATCTTTCTAATGTCTGTGTGGCTCATTTGGGTACTCAGCTTCCACCTGTGTCACCTTGTGCGTGCATCACCCGTGTTGTATTCTATATAAACATAGCAAAAGCACTTAATAATGTAGTAACAATTTAAACATTTAAACGAACAATCTACAATTAATTAATACCTAAAGAGTTTGCAAAATTAAAAAAAAAATATATTGAGAAAAAATGGATAATATTATTTACCTGGAGCTGTAAGACAACAATGGGAGGTGACGTGGTATCCCTGGACGTCATAGTTGTCACAAATATCTAATTTTAATTATAAAATAATTGTCACAAATATCTAATTTTAATTATAAAATAATTGTCCCAATGTATCTTTACATAAATATGAAGCAGTTGAAGCACCAAATTGTTCTTTATTACAAATGGATAATGTAAAATAGCTATATACATAACTGTAAAATCATGACAAGCTCCATTAATGGATAACTTTGATATAGTAACTGGTAACTGTAGGTGAACGAAAACGATATACCAGATATCTTAGATGTTTTCTTTGATATAAGGATCGACCGGAAGGGATCTTATTAATTATAAACTAATTAACCACAAACATATGTACTTTTAATTAAAAAACATATATCAAAGCATAATTACTCAGTAATACATTTATTTTAATATATTCATTAGCAAGCAAATTTTTTTGTAGGACATCATCCGGATTTGTGAAGCTAAAATAGTTTTTTTTTTGAGACAAAATACAAACGGCTGAATTCAGCAATAATATGTGAGAGGACAGGTTGGTAGTCAGTATACTACTATATAATTACTCTACTTACCTACGCTAAGTAGGTACGAATTCGTGACTATTAACGATCGTCTCAGTAGGTACTTTATTAACAGGAGGATGGGTTGTATTTTCAGTGGTGTTTTCTTATGAGAAAAACATAAGATGAATGTAATTGACATCATCTTTTCAGTGTGTGTGACTTGTGCTTGTCACAGCACTTGTACTGGTAGATACACCGACGGCCTCATTACTTTACAGGGAAGGCGTTCAGTCCCTTATGATCCAAGCAGGTCACGATTCCTTCACTCCTACCTTGGATCCCTTCCAAGAGCTACATAGTCATAATAGTATACTCCTTTCTCTTCATAATAACTTTACCTTACCAACTATCAATGTAAACTATGTGTGTGTGAGCTGTAGATAACAAGAGAAACGTTTTGTAATGAATTTTACTTAAGCAGCATTAACTTCTCAAATTAAATTTAAGATACTCAAGGCAAGTTAGACAATAACATTGTTAATGCAGTAATCGGTTTATTAAATACCGAATATACAATATATTTATTCTCTTTACGTAAAATTTTTTATCTTTTAAATTTAATTAAGTAAAGGTCTTTTATACAGGAAAACAGTATGAATATTTGCTATTGAAAAAAGGTATTACTGAGGCGAGGAGCAGCAGTGGGTGACGTTCTCCCCCAGCAGAGTGAGGTTCTCCCCCATCAGGGTGAGGGTTCTCCCCCAGCAGGATGAGGGGTTCTCCCCCAGCAGGGTGAGGGGTTCTCCCCCAGCAGGGTGAGGGGTTCTCCCCCAGCAGGGTGAGGGGTTCTCCCCCAGCAGGGTGAGGGTTCTCCCCCATCAGGGGGAGGGTTCTCCCCCAGCAGGGTGAGGTTCTCCCCCAGCAGGGTGAGAGTTCTCCCCCATCAGGGTGAGGGTTCTCCCCCATCAGGGTGAGGGTTCTCTCCCAGCAGGGTGAGGGTTCTCCCCCAGCAGGGTGAGGGATCTCCCCCAGCAGGGTGAGGGTTCTCCCCCAGCAGGGTGAGGGTTCTTCCCCAGCAGGGTGAGGGATCTACCCCAGCAGGGTGAGGGGTTCTTCCCCAGCAGGGTGAAGGTTCTGCCCCAGCAGGGTAAGGTTCTACCCCAGCAGGGTGAGGGGTTCTTCCCCAGCAGGGTGAAGGTTCTCCCCCAGCAGGGTAAGGTTCTACTCCAGCAGGGTGAGGTTCTCCCCCAGCAGGGTGAGGTTCTCTCTCAGTAGGGTGAGGTTCTCCACCAGCAGGGTGAGGTTCTCCCCCAGCAGGGTGAGGAAGGTGTTACTGAGGCGAGGAGCAGCAGTGGGCGAGGTTCTCCCCCAGCAGGGTGAGGAAGGTGTTACTGAGGCGAGGAGCAGCAGTGGGTGAGGTTCTCCACCAGCAGGGTGAGGAAGGTGTTACTGAGGCGAGGAGCAGCAGTGGGCGAGGTTCTCCCCCAGCAGGGTGAGGAAGGTGTTACTGAGGCGAGGAGCAGCAGTGGGCGAGGTTCTCCACCAGCAGGGTGAGGAAGGTGTTACTGAGGCGAGGAGCAGCAGTGGGCGAGGTTCTCCCCCAGCAGGGTGAGGACGGTGTTACTGAGGCGAGGAGCAGCAGTGGGCGAGGTTCTCCCCCAGCAGGGTGAGGAAGGTGTTACTGAGGCGAGGAGCAGCAGTGGGCGAGGTTCTCCCCCAGCAGGGTGAGGAAGGTGTTACTGAGGCGAGGAGCAGCAGTGGGCGAGGTTCTCCACCACCAGGGTGAGGAAGGTGTTACTGAGGCGAGGAGCAGCAGTGGATGAGGTTCTCCACCAGCAGGGTGAGGAAGGTGTTACTGAGGCGAGGAGCAGCAGTGGGCGAGGTTCTCCACCAGCAGGGTGAGGAAGGCGACGCAGGAGCCCACCAGCAACATGTAGAAGGCTCCCTGCAGATGGTTGAGGCTCAACACCATCTGCTGCCCGTCATCCTGCAAGTTAACAATAAATGATAAATTAGGAGTTGAAAGAACATCTAATACATCAATAATTCAATATATATCATGACACTTTGACAACATTAGATGAAAATTACCTGAATTGCATCTCCGAGAATAGGGTTAGTGTCCGATTTTAGAGCCTTTCTCATTTCCTTTACTTTTTTGGCCATTACGTCGTCAGTCCAAGAGGTAATTACTCCGGCAGCATCCAGACGAGTCAACAGTTGATTGAATCGTTGGCGGAAAGGTGCACCTTTTCTATCAAGCAGAAATAAACATAAACAAATGCCAAAATTATATTAAAATGTATCAAGACGAAACTGAAGCTTTTAATTTGATTCGGCGACTCAAAATTTTACTTCAGTGAAAAAATCGACTAAAATTCCCCCTCACTGAAAACCTTCTTTAAATAATATGACGTTTGTCAATATCATTAGGCAAAACTTAGGCCCTCGCCTTCCCCAGCAGCTCTACAAGGAACTCTATAACATAATTTACTATGATAATCCTCTTTACACTGTTTTTTTATTCTTTAGATATCTTATAATATCTTCAAAGCCGAAATATGCTATGAAGCACGTTATATGGATACAAAATATGGATATCAGCATGGACTTACATGTCTAAATTTTCTCTCAAAATTTGTCTTTTATGTAAAGAGTAAAAGCCTATTACACTTTTCGAAGGAGTCAGCAGTTACACTTGTCCACATATTTATTTATTAATTTCATTGTAAATATTGTTGCATATATAAAAAACTAAAGAGAAACTTGCTGTCAGTAATTAAACCATAAATTTGTGGGAACCGACCTGTGAGATTTATATTTATTTAATTTATATGAATTTATATAGAATTTATATTTACATTAATTTATATACTTCGATAGCAATTTGTATGATGTTAAGTGGACTGTATTTCTGCAATAATCTCACAAATCGATCCACTGCACATTAGGGGGGGGGGGTTATATTGAATTTATATATGTGCAGCCAATCAAACTACAGTATTTCAACTACATATATTGTTAAACATTGAAGAGGTCCCTTATCTTATTGTACAGCAGGCCTTAGTCCACCAGATATAACTAGGATGTAGACACCAAATTTTCCTCGTGTGAGGTAGCTTCCATCACCCAGTAACTGATGCACAAAGCATGCTTCCTCGTCTTGACCTGTCAAAAGGGCGCTAGCTGTAAAGCCAGAATCCTAATATATGACAGCTATATCAGAGAAAACACTGTACAAGGAACCATAAAGACCTAGGCTTAATTACCTTTTATTAAGAGGCAGTTCGTATTCTAACCGGCTCGCCCCTATCTAATGACATTAATGGCCATAAATGATAGATAAATGGGTTTCGGCAGAACACTTAACTTGTATTTGTTGACAGCGTGTTGATGATGGTACACCTTTGGTTTCCATAACACTTCGTCCAAGTAAAATTAACAGGAGCCGAATTGCTCCCGTGCCTCTGGTCTAAGTACAATAACAATGGCTGACCACTCCCTCACCACTGACGCCTCCCTCACTTTGTAGAGATGTCAGTAACTGATTGAATGGTCACATTTACTCTATTTTAATATTGATAATTAAGTTAATTTATATGAGATGTTTTATGATGGTAAAGTCCAAAGACTAATGTATTTAAGAATAATTCCCACCATAATAGGTGGTGAATTTATAATAGTATGTGGTAATGATATCCCGTTTTCTATAGACGGAAAATTCCACTACAAGTTACATTTTCTATGGGTTAACTTGTTTATACAATGCAGCAATATTATCTGCCTGTATGATATTATTAAATGGTGTCGGATTTTCCGACATAATTCCCCGGGGGCTGCTCACGGGTCGAAGTCCTATTTAGAACAGACGAACACCGATACTCCTCCTTCGAATTATTAGATTAATTTGATGTTAGTAGTTAGTAATCACACATTTGTGCGTCTGTTCGTACAGGATGGATGTCCCGTACTAGAGTTGCAGGGGTTAGAAGTCTAATGCGATTTCATTTCCCTGTTAACTCTTGAAAGGCTAAAATTCAAGCCTAATTACATATTATTTAACCCAGAAGACTGAATGTGATCAAGTACTACAGTCAAGTATGATTCAGGGACTGCAGTGAGATCAGTGACATTAGATATAACTTGAAGTTTGTTCAGGTAACTGGTCACTGATATATAAACACTGAGGCCCATGGAATACATCTTGATTAAATAATAAATGTATCAAATCAGTCATCAGATTTATTGGGGTTTAATTTAGTTAATTGATTCAGAGGATTGAATAGCCCATCATTAAAGTAAAGTATGGTTCTGAGACTGCAGTGGGTTCAGTGACATTGGTCGCAGTGACTTGTAGCTGTTTAGGCTACTGTTCACTGATTTGCCACTGAGGCCTCATGAACTCATCTTCAGCTTTAAATGATGATATTAACATCAACCTCTGTTACTATAGTCAGCTGTAATCTCCTTAGTATAATGCTACTGGAGAAATATAATCAGCTGACAAATTTAGATTTCTATTGGTATTGTTTATCTGCAGCCATAGGTCTCCTCAGGCTTGATACTGGGCCTGAGAGTAATTTACCTCCTGCAGAATTTAACATGGTTATGCCCTGATATTTAGTAGGGCTACCGATGAATCGATGGCAATAGTCTGTCCCTACAAGGAGACCGAAGTCGGTGAGGTGATCAGACTTAATATTATCTGCCAATTTTATTCCTCTATTTCTCAGGAATTTGGCTGTTGCTCTCAGACCTTGAACTTGTAGGTCTACTGGTATTTTGTCCACCACAATGGCTTGTACTCGACAGACGTACCTGCCTAAACGTACTGATGGTTGTACCACCTGGTAGACTTGAGGTCCTGCATCTGTTACAAACCCTGAGATGTTGAATGACGTCTGGGCTACAGGCCTTAATTGTAGTTCATCTGCCAACTTTTTAGTGACATATGTTCTCTGGGACCCTTGGTCAAACAACCCACGGGTATGGACCTTGGCCCTCTTATTCAGGATGGTAATTTGGGCAGTAGGCAAAGTCGTATTACCTTTAGACTTTGCCGATTGGACACTCTTCGTTTGTTGCACCTTGCAGTACTGTACTGTGGTGGGAATGCTATCTTCCACCTTGGGTCTTGAATACGTTAATTTCGTATATTTGCACAGTGCTGCATGGTGCCTACCTCTTCTACACCTGTTGCAGGTGTTGAATTGGGTATCACAATAGTCTATGTTGTGTGACTTGAGACACCTTGAACATCTCCCTAATTCCTGGAGTCGCTCAATACGAGTGTCTCTGGTTGGATAATTAGCACAACAGTATGTTGAATGTTTCTTTTTGCAGAACATACATGTCCCCCAGCCTACTGCACGTTTGGAAGTTACCGGTTTGGGTGAACTAGTAACAGTAGGCTTGGAGGATTCTGCTGCATTGTCAGATTTTCTGCAACTTGATGTTAAAGTAATTGACTGATGTTTATTTGGGGTAGTTGTTTTACCCTTTAATTGACTATTATTTTCTATTTCTGAAGGCTTGCATGAGGCTTTAACTTCCTCATTTGCACGTCGTTTGTTTATGATGGAATGTAAACCTTCAATGATGTCCTGTACTGTCAGGATGGTGTTATGTTGATGTGCATATAATTCATCTAGTATATCGCTGGACAATTTTCGTTGAAGGACTACTTTGGTCATCCATTCACTAGTAGTTATATCAACCTTAAGACTGAATGTTCTTAGTAGTGACTCAAACTCCATGCTGAAGGATTGTAATGAGTCAGCAGTCTGATCAGGTTGAGGTAAATCCAGCAATTGTAGTACTAAATGTATGACAGTTTTCTCATTGCCAGCATTATTCCTAGGAGGCTGGACTGGGAAATTAGTGCTGTCGCTATTTTCATTTACATTTTCTACTACTGGTTCAGCTTCACCTCTAATTTCAGTTTGGAGGCATGTTAACTTAGTAGCCTCAGGTATTGGGTTTTCAGAATCCACAGAGACTGTGGATAAATTGTCTGAGAACTGCTTAATTTCTGGTGGTATAATATTGGGTGAAGCTTTATCCTCGTTGATTAAAGGATCTAATCTGGCTTTACATTTATTCTCAAAAAGATCCAGATCATCCATAACATTATCTACTTTATTTGATGTACTGGCTAATTGTTCTGATTCAATTATCCTGTGTAAATGTTCCAACCTGGCTTGAGTTTCTTCTTCATATTGTGCTAGGTCAGACAGGAATGGTTCCACATCTTCAACTACTATGTCGTCGTCGTCGTGGACCTGATTTTGGTAAGATTTCCTATTTGCTTTCAATATATGCAATTGGGTTTGAATCTGTAATAGTGGTATTTTCAACCGACGATAATTAATTACAGGCTCATATAACAACTGTTCATATTGGTCGAGATCTCTTGTCAGTTGACGTTTGCTTGCTACTAAAGCACGCTTTGCTTTCTGTGGATTAGTCATGGTGACTTGTTAATTGGGCACCACTGGCTCATAAATTGTGAGCAAGTACTGATGGTAGCCTAGGGTAAAATTCTGCACTCACTAGGCGATAATCCTACCTCTACTAGAGGTTAGCACTTAAAATTAATACACATTATATATATACAATCATACACACTAATGATTTGAGTGATAAACCAGTGTCACTGGAAGTACCTTTAGGTTAGCTCTTCTATATCACCCTAGGATGGTATAGACACTAATTAATCACTCAAAGGTGTAATGATCATAAGTAAATTATTATATATACACAACTCAACTCGAGTTGATAAAATTTACACCCAAAATAGGGTCTGCACCATTCATTAATGGTGCTAGGTTGTTTAATATAGTACAACTAGACTATGGTAATAATGGGACTAGGATGAACAATAATAGTTCAACTAGTCAATGGTAATATCCTACCCTGTTGTGGGTTGGCAATTGGTAAATATTATATTGTGAACACTAGTGCAATATATATTAAATAATTCTCTATTTTGGAGAAATAATATACACAATTATTGATAATAGCCTCTTAATTAGCCTCTATGAAACTTCCAATATTATCAAGAAGTATTAAATATTATTAGTGACCTCACGAAATAAACTCCACAAAATTCGTAGATAATCTCTCACGAAATTTAACACCACGAAATCCGTGAACAATTTCGCGAAGACACAGCCACTAATTTGGCTGGCTTCAATATTAGCGCTGTCATCTCACGGAATAACACGCCACCAAATCTGTGGGTGTGCATGAAACCGCTGATAAGGCTGAACTGAACTGAGGGGGGCTCGTGAACTCGTTCGAGGCAAAGCCGCCGTCTTTGACTGCTGGCTTTGTATAAATCACACTGCACTAGTATATTTATGAATCCACTGGTTAACTGGTTCATCCGGTACTAAGATGACCAAATAATGTCATCCGACTCGAAGATGACCAATAATGTGGGTTCAAAGGACCAAATAATCCGGTTCTGAGGGTCCAAATAATGTGGGAACCGACCTGTGAGATTTATATTTATTTAATTTATATGAATTTATATAGAATTTATATTTACATTAATTTATATACTTCGATAGCAATTTGTATGATGTTAAGTGGACTGTATTTCTGCAATAATCTCACAAATCGATCCTCTACACATTAGGGGGGGGGTTTATATTGAATTTATATATATGCAGCCAATCAAACTACAGTATTAAACTACATACATTAGTAAACATTGAAGAGGTTCCTTATCTTATTGTACAGCAGGCCTTAGTCCACCAGGTATAACTAGGATGTAGACACCAAATTTTCCTCGTGTGAGGTAGCTTCCATCACCCTGGTAACTGATGCACCAAGCATGCTTCCTCGTCTTGACCTGTCAAAAGGGCGCTAGCTGTAAAGCCAGAATCCTAATATATGACAGCTATATCAGAGAAAACACTGTACAAGGAACCATAAAGACCTAGGCTTAATTACCTTTTATTAAGAGGCAGTTCGTATTCTAACCGGCTCGCCCCTATCTAATGACATTAATAGCCATAAATGATAGATAAATGGGTTTCGGCAGAACACTTAACTTGTATTTGTTGACAGCGTGTTGATGATGGTACACCTTTGGTTTCCATAACACTTCGTCCAAGTAAAATTAACAGGAGCCGAATTGCTCCCGTGCCTCTGGTCTAAGTACAATAACAATGGCTGACCACTCCCTCACCACTGACGCTACTCCCTACTTTGTCCAGATGTCAGTAAGTGATAGAATGGTCACATTTACTCTATTTTAATATTGATAATTAAGTTAATTTATATGTGATGGTTTTATGATGGTAAAGTCCAAAGACTAATGTATTTAAGAATAATTCCCACCATAATAGGTGGTGAATTTATAATAGTATGTGGTAATGATATCCCGTTTTCTATAGACGGAAAATTCCACTACAAGTTACATTTTCTATGGGTTAACTTGTTTATACAATGGCAGCAATATTATCTGCCTGTATGATATTATTAAATGGTGTCGGATTTTCCGACAGGGAGAAGCAGCCAGAAAACGCAAAAAAAAAAAAAAAACTATCAACAGTCCCGTGACCCAAGGCGATATATGTGCCAGGCGTTGTACAATCGAACCGTTGAAAAGGGATGACAAACGGCAGTAGCAAAGCCAAAACGCGAAAACATGACGTGAATAGGCGGCACCCAGGTGGAGGAGGTGTCCAGACGTCCGCTCGGCTTCAAGGTTGAACCAGGAGTCATTCTGTCTGTGACTCTGTGGAGTGACGCTCTCTCCCTCTCTGTTCCAATAATATCCTTGTTCTACTTCGGATTTTATTTAACAGTGACATGGGAGTCAAGCTATGTTTTTGGTTTGGGAAATTATATTCAGTTCTAGTGAACACTTTTTTATTAAGTTTAAACACTAGACTATTGTTTAAAAGAAATAGAGTTAAAATAAATAAACATCTTGCTGTTGACGTCACGGAATACCCGTTCTCTGATTTCTTTAATGGGTAACTTATGATATTTTGTGTGTCGGATTTCCGACAACATTAATGTAAATATTCAGTGCTTGGTAACTAGTATATATATTTATATATAGATTACACGTCTCGTATCTTTTATACTTTATTCCACAGAAAGGCTTATAGAAGATTTCAGCCTCTCTCACAATGTCATGTTTATTGTATGTATGAATTACTACAAATTGCAAGAGATTCTAATATATATATATATTTTTTTTTTAAATACATTTTTTTGTAACTAATTGAGGTTGATTACTCCTAGGAAACGTTTTTCCTTTTAAATTTGAAAAAATTATAATGCACACTTTTACTGATTGAATGAAAATTTAGCAAATGTCCAGGAATAACAAAGAAAGATGCATTATTAAGAGAGAAAACTCACCTGATGCACCATCCCATGGACAAGACCATAGGAATGCCCCTGCTGATGTAGAAGGGAGTGTTGCCTCGTTCATCCGTGTATCGTGTAGCCACGTTGATGATGGCAAAGTTCTTAGGGAAGATCAAGGATAGCCCCCCCGCCAGTACCATTTTCAGTGGGTCCGCCTCCTTTATGATCTAGGGAACAGTAACTAAACGTAATCCCATTTCAGTTTTATTTCTCAACTTTCAATTTTTTTGTATAAACCACAGCAGACAAGCTAATAACAAACAAGTTAATTATATATAACAATATATAATAAACATGATATATTTTATTATTAATTAAAATAATTAATTATTATTATTATAATTATTATTATATTAGAGTATATATATTAATTTTGATTAAATACGCAAATTGCCAGAAGTCATTATGTGTGTATAGTTAGGAATACACCCACAACCCACCTCCATTTTATGATAAACTTCATTGACTGCAGGATTTGGATGCTTTATAAAGTAATCAACAACTGCTTCCGACAACACCCATTGAGGAGTTCCCCAAGTCCAGCCAGGCTGGTTCACCAGGTCCTGGAAGGTCTCCAGGGGCCGGGACCTGCCTTGTACAGTAAGGTGCGCCACCAGAGACGAGGTGAACCCCGTGGTGACTATCAGGCAGAACACAAGCCACCAACCCACCAACAT